CGCTCTCTCGGCGCCCTGGGCCCGGGAACCGGCGTGTTCCTCCGGTGCCCGGGAAGGTCGCGCGCTGCCGCGGGGCCGGGGGAGGCTTTTGCTGTTGCTGGGCCCTGGGTTTGGTGAGCAAAGGGGAGCGCTCACCGGTGCCCTTGGTCGCTTGGAGAACAATGGAAACGAGCTGCTGTAGGAATGCGTGAAAGCAACGAGTGGCGATTGCTGCTTTCCCTTGGCTTTACAACCCTTCCGCATCCGTGGGTTGCCGAAGAGATGCTATTTATTTCCAAGAGTCTCATATTGTTTTCACGGTAGAGTGTGTTGCAACGTTTATGAGGAATTTATGGTGGTGGTGTGTGGGCAGGATAAGATTTCGGCATAAGATAAATCAGTGTATGACGCTGCCTGTGTAAGGATTTTTATTTTCTTTAGTTATTTTGATTTATTTGCAATATGATTCTGGCATTTGTAGCACAAAATACATTATTCCAGAGGTAGAATTTATTATTTGTTTATGGAGTTGTGGTTTGCATTAGGGAATACGTTTGAAAATAAAGGTTAGTATTTCATAACATGGTAAAATAAGTTCTGTTTTCTGTTTCCTAGTAGGAGGAAGAAGAAATGATGCCATAATATTGGTGAAAACCATAAGGTTAAAGGACAAATTTTTATTTCGCCTGAAACTGAAGGAAGAGATCTTATTTTTGAAGACTGTGGGGTCGCATATAACTTTTATGATGGGAAATCAGTTAGGGAAAAACTGGAATTATGACTAAGGAAAGGGCTTACTGCAGATTAGCACAGACAGCATGGCCAAATGTTTCCAGCAACTGGGAATAAGAATTCTGAGTTACGTTACACGTGGTGCTTTCGCATGTTATGCAGATTTGAGCAGGTTTGGCTTACATATTTTCGTTTATCTGTCAGGTGTATAGGGAAGCAGCATTCCTTAAATATTTTTGTAGCAATGGGACTTTCTTTGTAAAACCTTTAGGGTTTTTGTCCTAATTAATAAGAAGCTGTAGTGAGTCTGTGGTGTCTTGTTGGTTTAAAGGAAGAAATCCCCAGTTCTTCTGTAAGGTACTACTGTCCTACAACCTTACGTGGGTCCTGTGCTGTCCCGATTGAACCAGAATCGCAATATGCTGTTAGCTTCTCAAAGTCTGAGCAGCATCCACGTTTTGTGGCTTTGGGTTTTTTTGGGTCATTTTTTCTTCTCACTTGAGTCTCTGGGAACACTACTGTGGTTGTAGATCACTAGTCTTGACCCCTTTTAGACTCCAGAGAGAATACTTATTTATATGCCGTTAAAAAAAACTTCCGCTAAGTTGCTGTGATAGTTTGGATTTTTAATCTTTCTTAGAACTGCTGTGCATGTTGTGTCTTTGTCTGATTTGGGAATTTTAGTAGCTCTTCCAGTCTCATAACAGGTTTAATTACATTCAGCAAAGGTTATGTTAAGTAGATTAGCGACTCCTGATAGGCCTTTTTTATAGCAGCCACGATGTCTTTTATATACAAGCATTCGAAATACAGAAGTTTCATAGGATGCTCCTGTCAACTATAATCCAAAAGATGCTCATAGAGGACTGCCCAAACAGTCACATGAGTCGGAATTAAGTTTACTAGCTAGTCAAATCCTTGGCATGACTTGATAGCTCTTTTAATTTACAAAATTAATTAAATTAATGGACATGTACTTTTTCATTTCAGAAATCACATGATGGCAATGATTCAGGCAGACCGTTCCAGAGCAACATTTCATCATGTGTGCCAAGTGTTCCTTATCGGACAACCAAAAGCGTGGATTCAAGTGACGAAAGCTTTTCTGAATCTGATGATGACAGCTGTCTGTGGAAACGAAAACGACAGAAGTGTTTCAACTTTCCTCCTTCTAAATCTGAGCCGTTTCCACTTAGCCAGAGCCACCAGAAACAAACTGCTCTAGGTGGAAAGAAGGTCAACAACATTTGGGGTGTGGTGCTCCAGGAACAGAATCAGGATGCGGTGGCTACTGAACTTGGGATTCTAGGCATGGAAGGTAGTATTGACAGAAGCAGGCAGTCTGAGACTTACAATTATTTATTGGCTAAAAAGCTAATGAAGGAAGCTCAACAAAAGGAGGCAGAGACTTTAGATAAAGAACTGGATGAATACATGCATGATGACAAGAAAACATTGCCAGCAGAAGAAGAAAATGGGCAAGGCTTTCTCAAAAGGAAGCGGCCTGTAAAAGATAGACTGGGTGAAAGACAAGAGATGAAATATAAAGGAAGGTATGAGATAACGGAAGAAGATTCAGAGGAAAAAGTGGCAGATGAAATTGCGTATCGGTGAGTTTAATAACTGTCTCTTCACTTGTTTAAGTATTGCTAAGCTGGTGGTGGAAAAGAAGGGGGGGGAAGTTTTCTTACTGCTAACTATCAAGATGTCATACCAGATTACAAAAAGCACGAGTTTTAAAGATGCACCAGAATGGTCTGTTATTTGATAACAATGGCAAGGAAAAACAGTGTTTCTCATGATCTGGATTTATTAGTGACTTTTTTAGGAAATACCCCATAAGTAAAGATGCGTGTTTGGAGTTGGACACCAATGAACACCACCTGTGGTCACCATGAAAATCTGCCGAAGTTAAAAATTTTTGAAAGTGTAGATAACTCGAACTGTGTAGTGTTTTGGAGACCACAGCTTCTGAAATACAAATATTTTTTACATGGAACATTATTGTCTGAAGAAAACGTTTTGCTGCTGTTTTAACAAGGGGCTGTACCAAGCTTAGACATGAGCACTGAAATCAAGCCTTGCCTCTTTTTGTGTTGCGAAACTGAGCTGCAGTTCTGTGCTAATTTGTGGAAGCTAGTGTTGGGGTTACCAAGTTCCAGCTGTAGGCACACTTGCCACCATCCAATTCTTTTCACAATCCTGCTATTTATTTATTGTACACTGAGCCTGTTGCTTTTTTTGAAGAGTTAGTTTGCAGGCAGATTTTTTTTTCCCCAAACCAGTTTGCTGCACAGCTTCCTTTGGGCTGGCAGGGGCAGCACTGGACGGATGGTGTGAGGGAGGGCACGTGACTGCAGTCTTTCTTACTTAGATTGACTTCAACTGCCACAATACTTTTTCAGTGGTGCAAGGGGAGAAAATTATGTTTAATAGAAGAGTTACAAGATTTACTGATGGTTAGTTTGACTTTCAAATAAAACCCAGGTTTATTGATCATTGTTGATTTCTTACGTTGTGACACTTAGTATTGCCAGATGCTGAAATACAGCAATTAGGCAATTGTTAATGCTGTTATCAGTTCTCGGTAGCTTCTCATTTCTGAATTTGAAAACTTTGAGCATGTCCCTTGTAATAAACTTTTCTTTATTATATTGAGCTTCATCAAAATAGGGCAAAAGCCCCCTTTTTTTTCCTAATTGTTTATAGTAGCAGTGGCACTGAACTGCATCAGTAGGATTGTGGTTATACACATTATAGCACTGTTGTTTGACCTGTGCTGTGCCATCTGTGCCTGGAGTCATAACCTTTTGTTGTGCTGGCCCACACTGAAATCAAAGAGTTTTTCTGACCATCTTGTGCCATTTTTTGCCCTTTACTTCATTCAGTTTCTGTTGCGGTGCACAGTTGCTTGTTAAAGCACACATACAGGAGGATTGTACAGGGCCAGGATGAACACTAGGTGGGGATTTGACTGTTTAGAAGTTGCTGCTGCTACTAACAAAAGGTCTATTTAACCAGCTCGCTAAAGAGTCCTGGTTATCTTAAAATTCTCTGCCTCTTTGAGAAACACTTCCGTCTCTTCCAATAATTCACAGTTTAGAACTCAATCCTGTAAATATTTAAGAAAACATTTACCTTCTGGTGCTTTGTCATTCATTGAACTCAGTGAGATTAAACACAAAGTATAAAGTTAAGCAGGTTGGGTAATCCTTTTCATGATTAGAACAATTGTTACTAAAATGTGAGTTTTAACATTTAATTTCAGGTAACTCAAGTCATACAGTTGAAGCTAGGCCTGGTTCTAATAGTTGTGCACACCTGTAGTCAGACACCTTTTATTATGCCATCATTGTAACATATGCAACTTTATAACATAGTAATGTCACTTGAAGCAATTAGGCTAGACAGTGGTCCTTAAGAAATTTTGGTAATGCTGGTTGTCTGTTGGCCCCAAAGTGTAAAACCACTGAGCTGTAGCACTTGGGACTGGGCTTAATGTGAAGCTTTGTCATTAAAAAATAAGGATTTAGCATGTGAACTCTGGCTCCAGACAAGTAGTATTGATTTATGGGCTTACAATGTTTTCCACTGGGAGTATGTACTTTGGCACAGTGAACCGATGCTGTATAAGCCTCTCACTTCACGCAGACTGACAATGAAAATTTCTGTATGAGGACATACATACTTTTGTTCCTAAGGAAAGAATACAGTTTAACTCGGTAACATTGCAGTTTTTTTCTTGTTTGCATTTTGTGAGTTATAGTCAACAGACTGATACGTGGGTTTGCCCGAATCACACATGATACGGGGGAACTTTTACACTTACTGTGGTCACCAGTTAATCGTTGATTCAGCTGTAAAAGGTGCTGTAATTTTAACTGTTAAATGCACAGCAGACATACTTTAATTTCAGAGATTTATACAGGTATTTGCAGCTTCTCACTTGGTTTAAACTTTCATACATCAATAGAAGAAAAAAATCACTCAATGCATTTTCATTGAAACAAATTTTACAAATGCATGCTTTAGAAAAAACTACTCCTGAGAACGTCAGTATTTTGAAATCTGATTCAAGAAGCCGTTGAAACACATTTAAATGTATAGACTTTTTAAGTTTAGAACAGTTTCATGTCCCACAGAATGAATTATTCATTATGGGGGTTCCATGGTCAATTTTACTAGAGAAATTACACAGACAATAAATGTGCCTTTTTTTCCCCTTCTCTAAGGCTTTGTGAACCAAAGAAAGATTTAATTGCCCGAGTAGTGAAAATAATTGGGAAGAGAAAAGCTATTGAACTGCTTATGGAAACAGCTGAAGTGGAACAAAATGGCGGACTCTTCATAGTGGTAAGAAAAATGTGATACTGTGGGTTTGCGGGGGACACACACACAACTTTTTACTTGCGGAATATTTATGTAGTACTACTGCACATCCTTCACGTTGGACAGGTTCTCCCAGAGTTTCGCGGCCTTCCCTCACATGAAAGTTGTTTATAAATACTAATGTAACCTTCCAGCAGGATTTGAGTAAGCAATGAGATGAATGAACCTGGAAAATGCCCAACGTTTTGTACTGAGATTAGTATCCGATTTCCCGTGATAATGCTGTATCTATTACTCTGCCTCCTCTTGGGATCTTTCCCCAGCACTCCTAAGAGTAAAGGATTCTGGAGCTTCAATAAAAGCTCGTAATGCTAGGATCCAGGTGAAGCCTCTGGCACGTGTCTTCAGTCAGCACTGACCCATCTACGGGGTTAATCAGCTTGCCATCAGAGGTCAACACGCTCAGTAGTGAGCCTTTCTAATGTCACATTTGAAGAGTAACTTTCAAGAGGGAATCCGTTAGCTTTATTAGAGAACCATCGGCTTGTGTATCAATAGAGCAAAACGGAGTTCTGGTTTCTGTTACAAATCATGGTAAAAATACTATACTTAATGGCTAGGTTATCAATTTCTCAGCTTGTTTTTATTAAATCATCCTTGGTGCAAAAGTTCAGCAGAAAATAAAAGCGTGAGGAAACTAGTAAGTACTTCAGGCATTTGTAGTTTATATTTTTTTAAGTTCCATCACTGGAAGTGGAGATGAGGAAAAAAAGGAAGGGAGGTGTCCAAAAATAAAAACCAAACTAACAACACAAATAAAAAACTGCCACAACCATCTCCCACTCCCCACCCTCGCCCTGCCAAAAAGCTACAACATTCCAGCGAGGACTTCTCTTGGAAGCAGTCTATTGTCTTGAAGGATTAAAGTAGTTGTTAAAAGTATTTACCAAGGAGTTGAAAGGACATAACTCCTGGTGGCACAAGTTCCTTTGGCTGCAGATCAGAGTGCACCATTTGAAAGGCAGATCATACTATTTTTCTTGGTTGGGATTTTGTGCTGATAGGATGATAAAAGTATGTGGCATCTGCTGTTTCAAGAACATACTTAAAAACTGACCTTCCCTTCTCCGTTCTTAGAAGTTTTGGATTGTATTTTACTTTGTTATTTAGCAGAAAAGTTTCATAGTTAATAAAATATCAGAGCACTGGAATAACAGTTCAACTGTACATACTGTGAATGGTAATTGAAAAGCACTACGATAATTAGCACTTTTAATTTACAAAGGTTTCAAAGCTGAGTCCATTCACGCTTCAGTATGACACATTGCACCACTGCTGTTACACTGAAAACCGTTGAAGCACAAAACTAGTATATGTTGTAAGGAGAAACTTTAAAGTGGTGTTGAGGTCACATGGCTTAGGCAGAAACGGAAAAATCTTGCAGGTATGCAGAGAAGTTGTAGAATTGCTGAGCACAATTAAAAAAACTCAAGATCTACCTAATTTTATGAAATTCATTTTTGACATTTAACTGGGCATATGTTCTAGGAATCTTCTGAATATTTAGCTAGTATATACATTATTGCAGATAATTGTGAGGTTAGTTGGAATACTAATCGTGTTTTGTTTCTTCACTACCAAATCAGATTTAGTATGTAGCTGAGCAGTTTGATGCTATGTTCTAAAGCAACTTCTTTGTAACCTCATAGTTTAGCTGTCCAAATGTAGCTAGCTGGTTGGTGGTGGTCTTATGACGAGTTAGATCACAAAGAAAACATAGCCAGGGTTGGTTTTATGTAATACCTAACACAGCAGGACGTAATTTTTTTTTTTTACCCTGTCCCAATACAAAGCATTGTCTTAGGTGCTATTTTTATATCAACATTCTAAGTATTAAGCTTGCTATTACTAATTTACTCCTTCCCTCATAAGAACGGCACCAGGAGAAGAACGCCAGGAGGTGTTTATTTAAACCTGCTGAAGAACACACCTAGCATCAAGGAAGAACAAATCAAGGTAAAAATTGTCAAGACTGCAAATGATTGTCCAGAGAAAATTTGGGGGTTTTCTACTAGAAATGTTATGATTGAGTCTCTCTTATAGCCTCTAGATAGTTTAACTCTATTCCAGAGAAACCAGCTTTTCACATTCAAAATATAAGCAAAAAACCCACAAAAAAAGTCAACAGATTGCCATTCGCACTAGGCAGAGAGAACACCTTTTATGTACTGCCAGTCACAAAAACCTGTTGAGGATGATGAGACTGTAGAGTCTGAAGAGATAAACACTGGGTTTTCCTTAATTTGTATATACCTTACAGCAATGTTGTCTGCAATTGTATTTCTCCCTTTGGAGCTCTGTGTCATTGTGCATGGTTGAATGGTGTTCTCTTAATAAAATATTTTTGTCCTATATAGCTCCAGCTGTAGCACCAGGCGGTATTTCCCATTAAGTCAGATACTGGTCTGAACCTAGTCTGAATTGCTCACTGGCCTCATCTGTGGTGCTCACCAAATTAGTTTTGTCAGCTTGTAAATATTTTTGCCTTTCCTTTTAGGATATGAAATAGACTGAGATGGTATTTTCTTCATTCAGTTAAAACAATTTGGTTTTCTTCATGGTATTTGCCACTTTAGTTAAGTTTTTCTTTTTTAAAAAGATTCATTTATTTTGCTTGTAGGTGGCTCAAATCAACACAAACTGTGATTGTCTGGTTTATGTTTAAAAAAAAAAAAAAACAAACCAGCAACCTTTCTCAGCTTACAGTGGTCACAAAAAGTTGCAAGTTTGATCACTTTACCCCATTCCAAAAAAAAAAAATTTGCTCTTCTGCCCCTCTTCCATGCCCTTGCAGTTGTCTCTCTCGTTCTTCTCTTGCTGATACCGACAAGTGTTTAATGAGGCAGCAGTTTTCCCTTAAGAAGCTTGTTTGATGGTATGAGACATCATCATTTGGGAAGAGTATGTGTACTCCTGTCATCATGGAGGTTGTCATGTTTACAACTCCCACAGACTTGCATATCCTTAGCACTTGACTTGCATCTCAGAAAAGGTGTTAATGAGGTTCACCAATGTTTGACAGTAAAGATCATGAGACCTGGACTCAAATTTCAGTTGTGGAGGAAAGTTCTCTTAAGCTGCCAAAGAACCTTTGGTCATATTTTCTCTACAGGTCCCTCTGTATGGCAACATCACCCTCTAGTCCACCACCCATTCCTCCCAGTTTTGTATCAGCAAACTTGAAATGAAAACTTAGTGATGCTTATTTACGTACAATTTGAGATCACTGAGGAAATCGTGTAATAAAATTATTTATGGGGCATTTTCCTTAAGTGCAGTCTATCATCATACTTGTGCTGTCAATAATGTGTATCTTAGTAAAATATTATGGAACAGTATTTGTAATAAATTTTTTTTTTTTACTTCTTCATGTTTTCTTTGGGAAACACTAGTAAAATGAATATGCCAAACTTTTGTTTTGTTTTCTTTCAAGGAAATATTCTATCTGGAAAACCAAAGGGAGTATGAAAACAAAAAAGCTGCTAAGAAGAGGAGGATACAAGTTCTAGGAAAGAAGATGAAAAAAGCAATTAAAGGGCTTAACCTGCAAGAATATGATGATGCATCCCGTGAGACTTTTGCTAGCGATACTAATGAAGCTCTGGCTTCCTTGGATGATCTACAGGAGGGGCATCATGAAGCAAAGATGGAACCTGAAGATATTATTGAAATTGATAATGCTCACGATTTGGAGATCTTTTAGTTACTAATGTTCTTGATAACAAAGTCTCTATAAAATTTATTAAATGAGCCTTTCTTATAATCCCATGGCTTCTTGTTTTCATAAACTGCAGAAACATGGGAAATACTTGATGCTGAAGAACATGACATAATTCTTAGCTAAATTTAACAGCATGAAAGATGTTAATTGTCCTATTATTTGTTTGCTGAGCCCTCAAAAACTGTTAAGGTTTTCTAGATAACAGCTTTGCATCACCATGTTTGTTCCTTAGGGACTTTCTTTAGCCACATGCTAAGTTTAGGTTTAAGGGTATGTTTTAATGAAATACATCATACCTAATTTGCTGAAGCTAACAAAGTCATCAAGTGAGCCATGCTCCTTGTTGTAGTTGAACAGAAAAGAACAGTATAAAGTTAGTCTTGGTATAACAGAACACGTGTTCTTAATATGGCCGTGTGTTGACAAGAATAGCAGCGTTTATAGGATTCAGACCTGTAAAAACAGATTGGTTTGTGAAAAACTTGATTGTCGTAGTCAGTGACCTTTGAATAACAACCTTGTAGATAAGCACTGTTGAGCTACGTATGTTTTAATTCTCTGCAGCAGTTTAATCTTTTGTGTTATAATAGTGGCTTGAGCTTCCGACCTGTTCTGTCTAGAGTTTTTCCACATTTAGACACACACACGGCTTATACAGATCTTTGTGTTTGAAAACAAACTGAATGCTTTCCAAGTAGTGAGGTTTTACTAATTTGTGCTTCTTTCAGGGGCCTGTTGACTCTACATGCGGGTATAAACCCTTTACCTTGTAATTTTTTTTTCCCTGCTGTTTCTCATGTGTGCGGTATGATAAATTAATGTGTGGCTTGCAGAAGTTCTGAAGTTTTTCTATGCTGACTCTTAAGAAAACAATTGTATGCAAAAAATGATTTTTTTACTTCATGCAGAAGACTGTTGTGTAGTTTGTAAATTCAATTGAAGACAACTTTTATGTTGAACGTTGTTTTTAATACAACGGAAGAACATGTACGACACTGTTCTGTAACTTAACATATGTACGATGTAAGATTTCTGAAATATTAACGAATTAATTCACTTTTAAACCCAACAACAAACTTCTGCACATAAATTTTGTTCACCTGACGTCCTTGGATTTCAGAAGCAAAGCCCTATCACTAAAACATGTAATGAAGTTCTGATATTGAGCAATTCACTACTGTCAAGAGCTGGTATTTAAAGGACTACAGTATTTTAAGAAAGAGTTCTTAAGCATTTAGCACATTCCATTATATGCTTTACTAAACTTAATTTGAGTTTCGGCTTTTCTGCATTTTTCTCTTCATGTGCCAGAGCTCCCTGTTGTTAAGAAGTTGTTCACCAAATGTGAAGCATGCCTTTGCTGGTAGTTGTTGCTCGTGCTGAAGTAACAGAAGGATTTGATTTGTTTATTAACTTTCCTAACAGACCTGTGGTGGTCAGAGTACTAAACTGATAACTTGTGTAAGGGAAA